ATAATAAAATTAAAATGTGGGTGAGAAACTGGCTATTTGTCATATGCAAGCTAGAATCTGACTCAGATCCACAGCTACCTGAACTTCATTCACTGTGCATCTACTCCACAGTACTCATTCCTGTGGATACAACAGGCCTTATTTACCAATCTGAAGGCTTAGTTTGGTTTATCTTTTTGTTTCCAATGCACCCATCATTTCAAACAGTACATGTTGTCTCAAGTAAACAATTGGGGAAGAGTGGAAAATTTTGATCTGCAGATCCCAAATAATCATATGATGAGCCCTCTAAATTTGAAATGAAAGGTCTTCCCCTTCATTTGTGCTCTCCACTGTCTTTTTCGTTTTTAATTCATTAAATGCAATTCACTTAGCACTGAATACCACTTAAAACTGACCAGGTGACAGAGGCCAGCCCACTGAGATTGAACATTTTATTTTTTAGTGTTGCCAGATCCCTGTGGTGTTTGGGCAGCCTGTGGACCTGGTCAAGGTAGAAGAAGCTTAATATAAGCACTTTAGTATCTATATATATATTGGTTTTTTTACTACAAAAAGGCTCTTAGCCTCAGATTAAAGTTCCAAACTTACAAATAAAGAATTTGAATCTCAAGAAACGAAAATGATTAGAATCATATTTATGATCATTTTTGATAAGATTTAATCTCAAATCCTTCCTAGTTAACTTTTCTGTCTTCTCTAAATCTTGACCAAGAGTGATCAAATAACACAGGAGTTATATACCTTATAATGTCATTCAATAATTGGTACTATGATGTCATTTCATAAGTGGTAACATATCACACATATGCAGAACATTTTATGCGTTTTGAGTGTTTTCCAACTGTTTCATTTATTTTTCAGTAAACTGTGAGGTAGGCAAAGCCTGTATTCAACAGTCCCTCCAAGTGGTAAAGAAAAAGTCATCTAAGGATATACAATTATTTAGTATTAGATTTGAATCTAGAATCTTCAATACTTGCATCTAACACCACAATTTCTGGAAAATAGATTGAAACAGTGATAGAAAAATTTTAGGTTTTTGAGTTTGATGGATTTTGGATTAAAATCTTAGACTGAATTCAAAACCCAAGTCTTTGGGAGAATTCCCTCTCTGAGCCTTAGTTTCCACATCTGTAAAATCTGTTTTGCAAAAACCTTTATGTGTTTGTGTAAAGTTGAGATAATATCATAGAGTGGTACCTCTGTTCAAGAATGCTTTTGTTTTCAAATAATTTGATTCTCAAACAGAAGTATTTGGCAAAAGTTTGTTTTTGTTTGAAAACTCTGTATCAGGTGACAAACATGACCATGACCATCTTTCCCATACAAACACAAACATGGCAATCTTTTCCAAAATCGTAAAACAAATTAAGTTAGTGAACTGAGATGGCACTGTATATGTAAAGTTCCTGGTGTTGAATAGACATCAACAATAGAAACCACTAATAGTATCGTACTGCTTCAGATGCTGCAAGGTTGAGTATCTTAAGTTAAGTCTGTTAGCATATTTCCTGCCCTAATATTTTCCACTTGTCCTATTTCATTTGTGAATTCCCAGGGCCTAACATCTTTCCTTACATATTCCCAATAATTCTTTCTTGAATTTATAACATCTATCTATGGCAACCATAGTGAGAACTAGATATTAGCAGAGATAGTTTTGCTGTTCTCCATTCTTTATTCCATATATATCTCTTCTTTTATTCTTTCCTAATGTGACTTGAAAACCGAGCCCTGCTCTACTGCATCTCTGTAAGCCTTCATAGTAAAGAATCATGAATTAGCCAGATAAAAATATAGACAAAAAATGGTGGCAGTGAGACCAATCAGGAGGCAAATGTCTCAGCCCTGGACTTACTTGAGTAACCTTAGCCAATTAGGAAGAAGAAGCCTTGGCTACCTTTGAAAATGTGTTTTGTTCAGATGAATGGGCATTTTAGTGTCTGGCAGCTCTCCCTCTTCGAAGAGTTTGATATTAGTCCAGGCCCTAGGTCAAGGACTAATTCCATACAGTGGTACCTCGAACAAGAAAATAAAGAATACCCTTCTTGGAAAGAAAATAAATGCAAAATAATCCAGACAATAGCTACCGATATACTATCTTCAAAACCCTTTAAGTAATGATGGGAGAATTACATCTCATCCTTTTTATCTCATGCACAATTAGGTCAAAAACATGGGCAGTGGGGGTGTTTCTGGGAGATGTGAAAAGATAATATAGAAATGGGTAGGATTCTCTAGCAGTTCAAGCAGTAGCAGCAGCAGCAAGGATCCTAACCCTTAGTGCTAGACGCCTCCGTTCTCATCTGCTGATATTCTTTATTACTGACTCTGAGGTATACCTAGGGTGGTAGAGCTTTGGACTCTACCAGTTGGTGGCTATATAACCTCAGGCAAGTTAAAAATTTGAGCTTCATTTTTTTATTCATAAGTGCAGCCAATAACATCCACCACAGAAGCTCGATCATTTCTTCTAATAAATATTTAGTGAATGTCTACTTTGTCCCAGAGACTGTATTGAGCATTAGGAAACAGCAAAAAGCGTGGACATTCTAGAATTATTTAACTAATGTATACAAACTGCTTATCTGAGTATGTGGCTCATAATACCCATTTAATAAGTAGTAGTTATTGTTTTAATAGTCTGAGAGACAAGGATACACTAATTATGAGCCTAAGTTTTTCAGTTAGACCTAGATCAGTTCTAGTTTGAAATACCAACTCCAGATATTGATCATGAGAAATTATTAGGTTCTTTAACTTGAGCATTTTTGCAACTTCATATATCTAAATTTCCATGCCTGTAAACTCATGATAATTATAACGTATACATAAGCTTGGTAGGATCCAAGTCTTTTGCACTCTAAGGATACAATTCAAGATTGAAACCAGGTATAGGTGGATCAAAAAAAAAGAAAGCCTTTCAAAGAAAATGTCTCTTGAGCTGCCTGAAATTTGAGTGGAACATAAAGAAAAATAAGTGGGAGAACTATTAGGAGACCCAATAACCAGACATCTAAGGACAGATACTTCAGAGAGAGACACTCTACAAGGGAAGAGAAGGACACTTCATAGGCAACAAGAGCTCCCTTATTCATGTTCATCACAGATGGGAAGGCAGTGTCGCTGTGTTGTGGCCTTTGCTTATAACATACAGAACATCTCTTTGCAAATACCTTCTATCTTGAGCCCCAAACTCCAGCAAGGCCATTGTGTACTTCTCTCATCTTGCTAGTAGATTGTATTTACAAGAGTGCTTAGCTCTCTCCGCCTTTGTTTTTGTGTCTCTGATGACCTCTGTATTCTTCAAGATGCTGCTGTAAGGAGACAGAACTATGATGGGATATGACTCTCTGATAAAAGCTAGCTGGCTTACAGTAATAAAATTCACCTATTTGAAATGCACTTTTAATGAGTCTTGATGGATATATACATCTGTGTAAGCATCATCATCTACAGAATATTTTCATTTGAATTTTTTGGCTTCAATTGTTTGTAATTGTTGGTGTGTCTTTGCAACACATAATATTTACATCCATGTTGGAGAATTGGTACATATATATAGCTTATCTCAATCATATTTATTTCTTTTTCTGTCTACCTTCTCCTCACCCATCTTCCCCACATCCTTCCTCATCTCCACAAAGTCTGCCACCCTGTTTCCTACCATCCATTTTTTATTTTGCTCTTCAAATCATTTATAGTTCTAAGTTCTCATATAAGAGAAACCATGAAATACTTTCTGAAATACTTTCCTTCAGTGTCTGATTTATTTTATTTAGCATTATGATCTCAAGATCCATCCATTTTCCTACTAATGACTCGTTTATCTTTATTTATGGCTGAATAGTACTCCATTATGTATATATGACAAATTTCCTTTTCATCATCTTCCAAATTCTGTCAAGTTAGTTTGAAGTCAATTTCCCCATTCCTGGCATAAGACAACCACTTTTTGTGTGTACAGAATGTTTATATATATTTGCCTCTTCTGTCTATTTAATATAAAAGGGGTCATAGAACAGCTGACCTTTTGTGTTTGGCTTCTTTTACTTCATCCATGCTTCAAGGTTTATCCATGTATAGCATGTCTCAATATTTCATTTCTTTTTATTGTCAAAAATACAATACAGCACGTTTTTTAATAGTCCAGTTTGAGACCATTACAAATAAAGCTGTTATGAATCTTTCCATATAATTCTGTGTGTGTATATGTTTAAAGTGTACAACATAATATTGTTTGGGGGATTTTGTTTTGTTTTGTTGAGGTTCTCACTACGTAGACCAGGCTGGCCTCAACCTTGTGATCCTTCTGACTCAACCTCCCAAGTAGATGCGATTATAGTCATGACCACTATTCCTGGTTTCAACATAGTTTGTTATACTACAAATACATTGTGAAATGACTACCATAATAATTTCTCTAAAGTACCTAGGAGTGGGGCATGTGGAAAGTCTATGCTTAATTTTATATGCTACAGATAATCCTCATCTAAGGACCTACTTGTTTAATGACTGTTCAGACATAAGATCAAGGTATGATGTTCAGACCTACAACTCACTGCTTGGACTTATGACTCATCCTTTTGTTTTTTTACAAGTCTGTCATCTTCTTTATAGAGCTTCAATGTATTTTTAATACAGTCCACCTTGTTTATAAAGTACTGTAATTTTTGCTGATTGTACTGTACAGTACTGCAGTTTTATGTTCTGTTATACATTACAGTACTGTGCGCAAGAGTTATGCAAATGAAAGCAAAGTCATGAAGTTGGAGTTTCCTTTGACCATTTCTTTCTTCTTAATATTGTACTACATACAATTTCTGATGTAGGGACCAATTCAGTTAAAAACCTTGCTGCAGGACCCTAACTCAGTCCTTAACTGAGGAATGTCTGTACTGCAAACTGTTCCTCAAAGTGGCTGTATCTTTTGACATTCTTATCAGTAGTGTATGAGTGTTATCATCATACGTCCATGCAATACTTGGCATTTTCAGTCTTTTACAATTTATTTGTATGTGTTTGTACACTTGATCCTAAAGGGTATGCATCTTTCATTCTTTCCTCTGTTGGCTGCTCACTATCATCTCTATCCTATGTCTTTTGAGGAATATTGTAAGTAGTGAAAGGTAAAGCTGCATTGGGGTCAGGAATCAGAAAAGCTTTCATACATCCAGAAAGCCTTCATGCGGACAAAGAAGTAGTCTAATTTTGTGAGTGACAAATATCAACAGTATTGGAAATACAAGGAAGCAGATTTGGAATTCCCACAAATCTAATGACTAGACCTGCCTAACAACAGAGTGAGCATCTTCATTAAAAAGAGGGAGGGGCTGTCTATCACTGGATATCGGATGATAGTGGGGCTGTTTTGAAACAGAGTCATGCATAAGATAAAGGTTGGCTAAATCTTTCAAATTTTTCTATGACAGCATGAAACAGATAATATAAAAATTTTGTGACTTCTGACTTTTTCCTCTGTACGCTGCACTTTCACCTGACTTCTGGCTGACCTGAAATCCTTTAGTGCATTAGTACAAAAATGGGTAGAAATTCATCCCCAATAGAATAGAATGAGTGTTTCCCTTTTTTTCAGAGCATCTGAGTTGTAGTACATTTTCCAAATAAGAAGCTGTAATAGAAGTTCAAGCAAAGCAACAGTGAGTAAGATGTTTTGTCTAGAATTCCCTCCTTGTCATCACTCACATTAGACATAGCACCTACCTCATAATCTAGTCTACCTCTTGGTTAATAATGTAGGTCCTGAAGGAAATCAAAGAGAGAGAAATTAAAGCTTCCAAATATGGATTGAAAACCAGGGCAACAGATGAGAACTAACTTCTCAGTTTGGTTTTTTACATCCGCATAGACCTGACTATCAAAAATGATCCATCTGCCAACCTTTTTTCTATCTAACACCCTCTAGCTCTGATATGGTACTGTATGTTTTTAGAATACTGCTTACATCAACTGACAGCTTTTTTATATACCCATCAGGAATGATGCATCTTTTATTCATCTTCACACTTTAAGTGTCAGTCAGACTGTTAAGTCTTCCTATCATCTGTAAGAATGTATCACTGTGAAGGAGACTGGCTGTGACCTGCCACCAGGCTTCAGGGATTTAGTCTGCAGGGCAGTCTTGCAGAGATATGTCAGAGTAACTTGGTCTTAAGCCACACAATCTCTTTCTTCATTAAAAACTATACCAACAAAGTAAAAGGATGAAACTTCATCAAGAAAATATTTTAGTTGTGAAAATGAACTCATGTTACATATTAGTGTTTTGTGAACAAAATATGGAATCTGTATCTTTAGGGATGGCTAAAGAACCAGTCATCAAATGAGATTGGGCCAATTATAGTCAAAGCAATACACTGGGCTAGGTGTCTACAAATGAATTTGGTTTGGATCTGGTAATGGTAGCTGTACAGAGAACACTTACATTCCCCTTTCCTCCATTATTTCTTCTGCCCAAATGACTTTTGATAAATATCATATATAAATAAAAAGTTTTAAGTGTATTTATAGAATTTTTAAAAAACATGGTAAAAGTATCAGGCATAAGGATAACATCAACTGAAAACATGAAGTCTTCTTGTTTTAAATTATTACAGGAAGATGATTTAGATCTTAAAAAGGAAAGGGACTTCCTCTGAATGGTTCTAGGAAAAAGAACTCATAACTTTCTAATCATATTCAGCTCAGAGCCCCAGATAGTCCATATTTTCTTTCTTTCTTTCTTTCTTTCTTTCTTTCTTTCTTTCTTTCTTTCTTTCTTTCTTTCTTCGTTTTTTTTTTGTATTGGGGATTGAACTCGGGACCTTGCACTTGAGAGGCAGGTGGTGGCACCACTGAGCTAAATCCCCAGCCCAGTCCATATTTTCAACAATTATAAAAGTCATAATTTTGAGTAACTCATTCAAGTATGAATATCACTACAGAGAGTAAAGGAATACTGAAAATTCGCCATTACTCTCACCATGGACATCAACTGTATTTACCACCAAAACTGTGTTTCAGCTCTTCATACATCCTATATTTGATTGATGGCATATGTGTGGAGTTAATTTGATAAAACCCTTCAATACATTATCAGTAAAAAAAATACATTATCAGTAGTGGCTCAAGAACCAGTGTGTGGGATTAGAGGTGTAGCTCAGTGGTAGAGCATATGCTTAGCATGTACAAGGCCCTGGGTTCAATTCTTAGCACACAAACAAACCAAACCAAATGAAACCAAATTTAACCAAATGAAACCAAACGAAAACAAAACAGCAGTGTGATCCTGAGGTCTTTTGATATGGGCCATATGAAAATAGAACTATGAAGAATTGTATAAAGCTGATAGATTTACTTACATGGCTCTGGTCTCCAGAGGGACATTATTTTCCCCAAAGCCTGATATTTTAATACTTGCTAGCATTGATGATTTCCCAAGTACTGTGTTTTGGATGTGGTTTTCCCCCAAAGTACATGTGTTGGAAGCTTGGTACCCATTATGGCAGTATTGAGTTGGTGAAATGTTTAAGAGGTGGGATGTAGTGTGAGATAAGTTAGGCCTTGTGAGGACACTGTCCTTAGAAGTAATTGAATAGGTTTTGTGGGACCTCAGTTAGTTTCCTGGAGAGTAAGTTAGAAAGCAGCATGATTGACCCTTCCCTAACCCCTGGCTTTTTATCTTGTCAAGTGATCTCTTCCTCTTGCATGCATTCACACCATGATACCATAAACCATGATGTGATGTAGCCAAGGGGGCCCTTACCAGAGCCCAAATGGATGGGGCCACCTGGTCTTGGACTTTCAGTGTCCAAAATTGTGACCCAAATAAATCTTTTTTTTTAATAAAGTGCCTAGACTCAGATATTTTGTTATAGCAACAGAAGATACATGAATAAACCAAGTGACAAAACTTGGCTGAGTTTAGGATCTAAAGCTTAATATTCTCTCTCATAAACCTTACCAACCAATGAAGGTGAGTGGCGTGAAGCATAAGATCTCAATTTAATTTGATTGAATGGCTCCTTTGGATCCTCCAGAAAATAAAAAGGAACTTTTGCTCATCCTTTTGAATAATCTGCATGACAACTATGTAATGAGAATGTAAATCCTTTTATTGACACCTTAGGAAATATTTAGGATCCAGGTAATGACATAAAATAAACTTGTGTTCATAAAAAAATAGGAGATTTACAACAAAAAATCATCTTTGAAAAATGACAAAACTAGATACCTAATTGCTGAAGATCTATGGCCATTCATACAAGCTTATAAAATAGCCACTGATATCACTGCTGATAACAATGCTAGAAAGGAC